TTTGTAATATTCCCTTGATGTTTCTTACTCAGCGTTTCATCACTGGTTGATCATGGGTTCCAGCAAACTGACAACAAAGGTACACATTGGCTAGCCAGTTTGGAACTCATCCTTCCCTGTCAGGAGAACAGTTATGCTGGTCTGGGAGCTGCTGCACAGTCCTGAGTGCAGACACGTGGTCACAAATGTTGTGGTGGGAACAGGATGTGTTGGTGATGGATCCTGTTTCCAGGATTGTGATCTGTGGCATGTCTGAAACGATGGGACTGTAATTCTAATAGTTCTGGGAGGTACTGGTACACAAACTGAACTGCAACGTTCTCTTTCCGTTTATTACCAGAACTCCTAAATTGAATTATAGCCTCACAGCTTGTTGTTCCCTACTGTTTGTTCTTTATGCAAACTGTTTATGTGTCATCATGATCTAGAGCTATTTTTGGCAGAGCATTAATCTTTTTGTAATGTGACCTTGCCTTGTTCATATTTCCTCTCTGGGAGTTTATGAGGGGTTCGTTGGCTTTGTGCTCTGAATTGCTGACTCCAGCTCTCTGAACATGCTGTCTGCTTGTCTGAGTGTGAGGGTTATGCCTGGATTTCTGGTGACCTGCTGGGCCTCAGTGATATTGTTTATGGTAGAGAGAGTAAAAAACTCTAGGCAGTGTAATTGGTCTGACAGCCATTTCCACGGTGTCTGTGGGATCACAAAGGAAAGTGCTGTCAAAACAGCAATGCCATGAGAGATATTAATGACAAAGTTCAGCTGAATGGGGCTTTGAATATGGGTAGTCTGATGACTAAGGAGAGGCTGGGATGCATTTGCATTTGTCATGCCTTTCCATGAACAGTGGTGGAGTGGGAGCTGCTCCTTTGGAAACATCAACAGTAAAGCAGTATTAATATTTCAGTGAGATAAGTCATCTTTCTCAGACTTTCCAGCACAACATGCTGAAATAGACAGTTCCTCAGCTTGCTGATGCTTTTTGTGTTACATTCAATTTCCTACTTTGTGCTTTGTCATTCCCACTTCAAGCTTGTAATTATTCATTGTGCACTTGGAGAAAGTCTGCCTTGGTTAATGAGGGTTGTTCCAATTTAGATAACAGAGGATTTTCTGTTGGAATTGACATACTGTATTTTAATACATGTTAATGAATACTTTTAATCATGTTAATTATGAATGTGTTATCACGAAACACTTTGATATTACACTGTCAGATAGCAAAAGAAATACGAAGATGGGTATAATCATTAAGTTTCTGGAGCTGTAATGGTCCTAGAATATAAACAAGGGCAGTTTTGAAGGGAGGAATAGTGCCTTGTCTTAAACTGATCTGTTGTAGCTGGAAAAAGTCTGTGAGTGAAAGGTCCTCCACAGGCCCTGCAGATTCACCTCTTTAAAACTGCACAAATTGCCCTCAAGGCAGATATATAAATGCTGTGTTGACTTAGCCTGTAGATAGAACACAGTAGACTGAGAAGGGAAATAAATGCTCCTGATCCTTCAGAGAGCAGTTCAGCACCTCTTTGAAACTCACAGCTGTCCTCTGTGGCTGAAATATGCTTAGTGGCATTTATGAACTGAAACACCTGAAATACAGATGGATTAGGACCAGAGTCTGCCATTTTAAAAGTTCTATTTTAAAACAAAAGGTGAATACTAGAGTGCAAGGTCTAAATGGTTCTCAGATTCTGTGAAACATTCTTTTAGTTAGATTCTTATAAAAATTTTGACTTTTTTTACCCATAGTTACACTTAGAGAATAAACTTTCTAGCATTTGTCTAACTGTTGCTACAGGGATTTAGCAATGCAATTCTTAAAGAGCTTGCCAGGCAGTATGTCTATTTGCTTATGCTGCCAAAATCTGTGTGGCAATTTCTGTACGGAGAGATTAAGTCCTAAGCAGTGATCTGGTACAGTTTAGGGAGAAAAAGCATAACAAAACAAATGTTCCACAATCTTATTTTGCAATCCCACCATCTCGTGGCAGTTTGTAGTATTGCTTTTCTATACCCTTGTGTACAACATGTGCTTCAGGAGGTTACTGTGAGAGCGCAAGGCTTCCTGCTGTTTCCCTGCTCCTCAGCATCCTGCCTTCCCACTTCTGTTCTCCCATGGTAGAGCCACAGTTTTTAGCACTCAACTAACCCTTTGCAGTGATAGTCTGTCAGTACTGCACATTGGAAAAAGAAGATTTATAAATTGCATTCATTTTCAGGGCTTTCATCCCCTTTTTCAGCCTGTTTATCCTCCATCTGCCTTGCCCTCAAGGAGCAAGTGTTCCACTTCACACCAAGGACTGGTGTGAAATCATTCTTATGGACAGCATGAAGCATGATCCTGGCAGTACAAAGCAGGGAAGATGATACTGCTTAATCCCCTTGCTGGGAGACCTGTGTGATAACTTTTAATTCAGTAATTTCCCTCACCTTTTTGAGTCTTGTGTTTTGGAAAGGTCTCTCTAGTTTCATGCAAATAGTCTCTGGAAAGATTTTCTTCAGGAAGGTCTAGGGAGTTTCCTTGTTTATATAACAAAAATGGTAGTAATAAATTCTTCAGAAAGACAATCAATGCTGAGCAATCAGAGTTAAATTCTCTGCAGCTGGAGAGAATTCTCTGTGCTGCCTTTCACGTGGCACTGTCAGGCCTGTCCTAATGCTGTTCACATGTGCTGTCTGTGGCTGCTGCTCTTTTTCAGAGCCTGACTAGTAAAAGTCTTCCCCTCTCTTTGCTTTTCTGCTTTCTCAATGCACTGACAACTTAGGAAACTGAAGACCTCTCTATGAAATTGCTTCTTAGCCAAATGATGGCAACTGCCTGGCCATGCATGACATGGTTGTATTCTAAAGAGCAGCACTGATGGCAGCAAAACATGCAAGCAACTACCTGAGAGATTACTGGGGTCTGGGGTTTAAGCCCTCAGGTGGTGCAGTCTGTGAAGAGTTTTGTTAGCCAGGAATCATAGAATCAACCAGGTTGGAAGGGACCTCAAAGATCATCGAGTCCAACCCTACTGTGGTTATTAGACCATGGCACTAAGTGCCACATCCAGTCTCAGCTTGAAAACCTCCAGGGATGGTGAATGGATGTCAAGAAGAGCTTTGTTTCGCTTAGTTGGCACCTGGGTTGGGAACAGGTAGAGCAGAAAGGTTAGAGGCCAAATCTGAGCTAGCACTTGAAATCTCATTAAAGAATACAGTTATAGCTAGTTTCATGTTTAGTGCTTTCCCCTACATATGTAATATATGCCCTCCAGGAGCAGGGTGGGGGAAACTTTTTTCAATTCAAGCCACTCTACAACAGAGGATTGCAATCGAGGGATTAGAATTTGAACTTTCTTTAAAAAAATCTTGATTTGCATGAGTGCTTTCTAAAATTTCTCTAGAAAATGGGTTTTGGAATTTGGACTGGGAATTATTCATGTTTGAAACAGACATGTTTTCTGAGAATCTGTTTTGAGGAGAGTGGTGGTGGTTAACATTTAAACATTTACAGTGCTTTATCAACTATCTTCTTCTGTTTTGACAATACCACACCACATTAATCTAAGGTCGTTTCTCTCATTCTTGTTAAGATTTAACTTAGTAAAAGCCATTACTGTTTTAACAGATCATTCTAAAATAATGATTAACATACCTTTAGCAAAGCTTAAGTGCATGGAACACACAAAGTTCCCTTTGAGATACTGAGTTTAAAAATATTCCAAGTGTGAAGTCTTTAAAGAAAAAGAAAATACATAATAATGCACATTGTAGAAATGTCTTTTCTGATTCTTATTAATGAAATGAGCATAATTTAGTGTCTACTTTTATGATTTTTAAGAAATCAGAGGGGAAAATATCAGCTTGCGGTAGAAGTGTTTATCTGGACCAGGGAAAGCATATAGAACATTCCAGTAAGGATTTGAATAAATGCCTGAGTAGCTAAACCCAGAGATGGAGTCAGATGTAATGGAAGAGAGATTTCTTCCTGCTAACTTGCAGCTTTTGTCTAATTTATACTTGTTTTCATTGAAGTACTCCTGAGCTACCAGAATATAACACTATACACCACAGAAACATTTAATTAAGTCTGATTACATACTCTGAACTTGTGATTTTGGTCCTTCTCCCCATTTTCTTACTTTTAGAATGCCTGATAAACGACTGAGGCTCCTACCAACTGTATCCCAAACCCCTTAAGTTTCTGCATAGGTAGTTATGGGAAAACACATGTCATTTCAGGTCTTTGTCTGTCAGCCTTATAATGTTACCTGTTGTGCTAACATTCAGACATTTTCTGTTTGGTGTCTTAGCTTACTTGTTACAGCATAGAGCTAAAACTCATTTCCCAGGGATTTATGGTTCTGTGTGTAAAATATATCCAGGTTTTTAGTGTAAGAGTACAGCTAAAAGGCACAGTAGTCATTTTGTAGGAGCTTGTAGGAAAATGATGCATGCCGGGGAAAGAGCTGTAATTCACATGGATAAGCTTCAACTAAACACCTGTGGCATATATGGTTTCCTTTAAAACCTGCTTCCTTAGTACTGATACCAGAGGCGGTGGTGATACAGTGTAATTGAGACATGCTGAGCATGTTTTGAGAGCTGGGTCCATCTCTGGTAGGAGAATAATCCCCACTGTGTTAATGTAATGCTTGATTTCTGGCTGGAGTGAAAATGAAAAGCATCATTTAAGATGGATTTTGCATGTCTGATGGGAGATGCTTGTCAGCAAGAGCCAGGATCTTCTCAATACCTGTGCCTGCAAATTTGGCCTTGTGTTTAATTATTTATAAATCATCAGAGTTGACAGACATTAGCCTGTGGGTATCCTAAGTTCTTGATAGGACAAAAAAACCCAAACCCAACAAAAACCAGATTACAGATAGGATCTGAAAATGTCTGTACTGCTGATGAGTGAAATCTGGGGTGACAGTGGAAAAGTGGCAGGGTTTAGCCTGTCAATCGCACAGTATCATCCTGATTCATAGTAATGACTTCTTGTATTCTAACCCAACAGCAATACAGATGTGCACACAGTAGCTTCACTGCTTAAGCTGTACCTAAGGGAACTCCCAGAACCTGTCGTACCATATGCAAAATATGAAGATTTTCTTTCCTGTGCCAAAATGCTCAGCAAGGAGGAAGAAACGGTGAGTTGGTAACTTGAGTAAGAGGAAATAAAAAGCTGTTCTGATTTTGAGGAGGGGAGAAGCTATTGGTTGTCCTAATTTAAATGTGCTTCTATTAATTGAGGCAGTTTTTAGATGAAAATTGTTGCCACCTGGGTCCTTTGGAAGTCTAAATAAAGGTGCATAGCATAACTGTAGCAGATTTTATTGCGTGTCACTTAATCCTGTTCAAGTAACCATCACTGGGGTTAACAGCTTCCATTTTGCATGGAAGAAACGTATATTTTCATGGAGTAGATTCTGAACTGTAAAAGGAAGGGTCTTGATGGTTGCTGTTCAGCTCTTGCCCTTAAATTGGGAGTAATTTACTTCTAAGCATTGGAATGCCAACTTTTATTGACTTTTGATTGAAGGTCAGTAGACTCTTTTCATTGCCTGTCATTGAATCACAAAGCTTCAAAAAGGTGAAGTGGGCTATCTTCCTGACTCTCTTAGAATCATAGAACCATCAAGGTTGGAACAGACCTTAAAGATGATCATCAAGTCCAATCATCCACCTAGCACTACCACTGTAACCCCTAAACCACTACACCATATCACCCAGTGCCAGATCCAGACACCTCTTAAACACCTTCAGGTGATTCCACCACCTTCCTGTGCAATATTCCAGTGCCTGAACACCATAACAGTGAAAAATCTTTTCCTAACATCTAATCTGAATCTCCCCTCCTTGATATAGGTCAAGATGCCATTGACCTTCTTGGCCACTTGGGCACACTGTTGGCTCATATTGAGCTGGCTGTCAACCAGCACCCCCAATTCCACTTCTTGAAGCACACCATATCGTGCCAGATCCAGACACCTCTTAAACACCTTCAGGTGATTCCACCACCTTCCTGTGCAATATTCCAGTGCCTGAACACCATAACAGTGAAAAATCTTTTCCTAACATCTAATCTGAATCTCCCCTCCTTGATATAGGTCAAGATGCCATTGACCTTCTTGGCCACTTGGGCACACTGTTGGCTCATATTGAGCTGGCTGTCAACCAGCACCCCCAATTCCACTTCTTGAAGCAGCTGATTCCACCACCTTCCTGTGCAATATTCCAGTGCCTGAACACCATAACAGTGAAAAATCTTTTCCTAACATCTAATCTGAATCTCCCCTCCTTGATATAGGTCAAGATGCCATTGACCTTCTTGGCCACTTGGGCACACTGTTGGCTCATATTGAGCTGGCTGTCAACCAGCACCCCCAATTCCACTTCTTGAAGCAGCGTAACACAGATGAACAAAATAAGGGTTTTGACACATAATATGTGCCCTGCAGTGGCATCCACCTACTGTATATTGGTCTGAAGACATAAGAAACCAAGTGTTTGCTTTTGCATTGTTCTGTGGGCTTATGGGCAATGAGGTCAACCCTGATATGTTCTTTCAAAGTACATCCAAATAGGTTTATCCTGTTGATTTCAATCTACTCCCCTCATTTTCTAAGGTGGTTATTTCTGTTTAATTACTTTTTGACATTTCAAATCCTGGTAGAACTGGAACCCCTCCTACATAATCTATTAATTGATTAGGAGCTCCTTTGAGCCCATTTTTAGTAAGAGACCATCTCCTTTCTGACTTTCCATGATGACTACCAACAGCAAAGGCGGTAGTTGTTCCCATCTGATGAAATGAGAGGGGAAGAAAGATTTGTGACAAACTGTCCTATGGCCTTAATCTCTTACACCCACTGAAATCAGACTGGTTTCTTCACTGTCCTTTACAGCCTGCTAAAAGGTGCACATTTTTGTTAGCTGCTTGAAAAAGGTGGCAGTGAGCTGTTCAGACGCTTTAATTTAAGCTCCTCTTTGCACAAATAATGGCAGGGGATCATCAGAGCTGTTTGCTTGTGTGTTTTGTGAATGTCTCTAAACATTGACAGCTCCAATGTAAAGCTTCCTGACACCCCTACAGTTAGTTGTCATATAGTTTATATGTCAATGATATTAATTTGCAGATTACATTTTTTGGTAGCTTTATATTGGCTTAGTCCAGAGTGTATTTGTGTAGCTCCTCTGTAACTGTGCCATGAAGCACTTTCTAAAACTCATTTTGAAAGCAAAATTCAAATTCCAATAGCCTTTTAGTGCTGGAGTTGTTCCTGGCAGTTTGTGAAAAATCAGTGCTATAGGTGATGAGCCACTTCAATCCTCTTTTTGGTGGCTTAGCTGTCCAGCTGTGAGGCTGTCTGAGTAGACTGGCAGTTGATCTTTCTCTATCCAGAAAGTGAAAGTGCAGTCACTAGTAAGGGAGAAAGCTGCACATCTTCTATCCTTAGCCCACAGCCAGCAAACTTGTGCACTCTCATGCTCTGCCCATCTTGATTTGCATTTCTTTTCATAACATATTGTAGCTAAAACCCACTGATGCTGGCAAAGTACCAAAATCCCATACTGAAAAAGAGTCTAAAGGCACTGGTTGTTGAGGAACATAACCAGGGTCTTTTTCCACAGGGCACAGAAACTAGTATGTGATATTCTGTGTGTCCCATTCCCAGGTTGGGCACAAACTGAAACAACTGTTTGTTAGTCTGAATCTAGTATGGACCAGAACTGGGTAAAATAACCAAAGAGTTTCTCATATGAAATGCCAGCTAGTTCAAGAATTATTCCTGGAAGCCTCAGCCTTTTTATCAGAAAAAGGAATGGAGCTGCTGGTCGAAAAAGAAAGAGCAAAAGAGAAGGAAAAGACAGGATGAATCCAAGATATTTATTTACTTGTTTATTTTTTCCAGAGCTAATCCTTGTTAGCCAAATCCTAAATGGATTCTACAAGCTGTTCCAGTTTGTAACCTGTATTTAACATTTAACACTGCAGTTTCGATGATGTGTTTGTGGTCTTGTAATTGGAATTGCTGACCTTTTATTTTTACTAAGAAACTCTGCCTCCTCTTTTTTTTTTTTCCCTAAACCACTTAAAGGGCCTAAAAGAACTGGTGAAGCAAGTGAAGAGCCTGCCAGCTGTCAATTATAATCTACTGAAATATATCTGTAGGTAAGTGGTCTTGCAAGAATATCCCAATGGTATTTATAGCTTTGAGCTGACAGACAAACCTGTCTGTGTACGTGCCCTGAAGGAAAAGCATTACTCGCATTTAGACTGGTGAACTCAAGTGAATGCACTAAAATTGTAGGTTTTTTTCATGGCTAATTAGTAATTTGCTCTATCAAGGTGCACAGTTAGGACTTTACTTTCATAAGCAAGTTGCACTCTGCAAGGAGGGCAGGAAGGGAGAAGTGAATATATTCTGTCCTCCTTACAAGACCCTGGGTCCATTTCTAACTGCAGTTATTGGCCTTGGCTGTGCACTCCTGAATTTGACAGCTTTGAAAACTCTATGTCCTGTAGTATATAGAATAGTTTTGTGTATACATCTAAGATCTTAAAAAACATGTGGTGCACAGTTGCAATTTGTGAACTTATAGAGGGTTTGAAGCATAAACAATTTTAACATTTAAAATAATATGAACCTTTTTTTGCAACTGCAATTTGTATTTTCATTATATTTTATGAGCTAAGTAATTGATTACTTATGCTGGAGAAAGTTGCCATCTTCAGCAGAGTTATTAGTACAGACTGAGGTTGGATTTGGAATGGAATATTTGAACTGTGTTAAGAAACAATCACGTGCTTTGCATTTTTTATTTCTTGTTTATATGTTTCTTAAGGACCTCTTTCTTCCCCACAGATTCCTTGATGAAGTCCAGTCTTATTCAGGTGTAAACAAAATGAGTGTGCAAAATCTGGCTACTGTTTTTGGCCCCAACATCCTTCGCCCCAAAGTGGAAGATCCTCTGACTATCATGGAGGGTGAGCTCACTGTACATAACTTGTAAGAAAAAGCAGAAATGCCTTTAGGTTGATTAACAGCACATACCAGTCCATGTAGTATGTGCACTAAGTTCCAAATATCCGATTTATAGGCACAGAACTTCTCAACTTGAATGAACTTCTGGGTTAAATCTTGCAGTTTACTGTAAAATGTACTGAAACATGGAGCATTGCAAACAAACTTTGCATGAGGTTGTTCTGCTCTGGCAGCTTCACTAAACGTGTACTTTTTGCCTCAAAACTTCCTGCAAACATGGCATGTTCTTATTCAGCACATGTGGTTGGAGTGCAGTTAATATTTTACCTGTGGTTCTTAAGGAGGAGAAAAAGTTAGTAGAGGTTTACACTGCAGTGACCCGTGTAGGACCCCCACAAGGCAGTTGTATATTACATGCCTTGTGCACAACAGGGATCAACTTGTCAGCTGCATCTGTTCCTAACAGCCATGTTCAGCTGTAGCTTTTTGCTGTGATTAAGAAAAAAATATGGGCATGACAATCTCCTCCTATAACTTCCTTTTAGGCTTCATCCTTGTGACTTTAATTCTCTATAAGGTACATGACACCTTTTCTACCTCCAAAGACCTTTTGTTTAATGTGTAGGATTGACTTAACTTCCTCAGAAATGAGGGCTGTACACAGACAGTGCACTGAATATTTTACCAAAATGCAAAAAAAAATGCAGTTTTCATAGTTTATTTCAGTGTATAGAATTATTCTTTTCCTGTGAGTATGACTATTTTTCTCTTCCCTAGATACAACAATTCCCTGTACGCTTTGTTCACTTAGTTGCTTTTCTCAAGTCTTATGCTTCCTCCTTCCTTTTTAATTCTTACCACAGTGACTATGTTGTTGTGAATAGAAACATGGCATTTCCAAATCATGTATGGAGTCCATGAATACTCAGGATTAGCTGTCTGAACAGTAGCTCAGACAGCCAGAACACCTTTTAAATTGAGAGGGGTTTTTAATCATCATCTTCACTTGAATGTCTGGATTCTCACTGTCACAGAGAAAGGTTTGATCATGCATTTGACTCAAAAGGGTTTCCAAGAGCAGGTGTCCAATTCACTTGCATGACCATGCGTGAGTATCATCACAGCTATGCAGCTTCAAGTACCCTGAAATCTGCATTTGTGGCTTCCTCCTGGTTTCTGTACCTACTTGTGTCTGTGCACTGTGTCTGTCTGACACAGGAGTGCTGAGGTAAGCTTCACTGTGTCATTGAAGTCCTAGTTTACACACCTTACACCATCTCCCCATGGTGTTTTTAGAGGCAAACACAAATCTTTCCTGCTTTGTTTCCTTCCTCTTCAACTGTCTTGTCATGTCTCTCTCAGAAGTTACCTTTCTGTGTGCATGTGTGCACACATGCTGCTTATTGCTTCACTTTTGACCTGTCTCTTTGTACCTACAGAACTCCCAGACTGGCTGGAAGAGTAACTTCTCTTACCCTGACACTTCTCTAGGCTTAGCAGTCTGGTAGATAACTGCTGTGAATGTTTGTCTTGGTCAGGTAGCAAACTGTCCCTTCTTTCCATACTTTTGCATTAAATAGTACAAAAAGTAGTTCAAATTGTTTAGTAGATTGGAATTGGAGAGAGAGATGTCACAGAGCTGATTTATACCACTGAAGTCACTTAAGACTGGTGTCTCACAGGATGTCATTTACTGATGGAATACCATGTACCCTCAGCTCACCTGGGGCAGGGACAGAAATGGAGATTTGGGATGGGGAGAGGTGTTAGCCATTCCTCAATAGAACACTATCATCTAGGTTTATATTTTTCCAGAACTCACTGTTGCCTGAAGTTGATCGGTTTGGATTTTTTGAAAGTTTGAGCAAGAAAGTTTTTGGGTTTGTGCTTTTTGTTGTTGCTATGGTTGAATGATTGGGTTTTTTGTTTGATTGATTCTAAACTGGGTAGAAAGGGAAAATAAAAAGTTTTTCCTGTTCTTGAAGGCAACTCTCCAGCTTGTTCATCAGCTAAACTGATGGTGCCTGCTTTAGGAAATGGGGTGGATGCTACACTCATTGTAGGAAAATATGTATACATTTTTAACTAATGAGAAACACGTTTGATAGAACAGATTTATGACCTCTCTTTAAGCATTACTTTAAGATTTGACAGAAGACTGCTGATTTGCAATTGGACTACACATAGTTAAATATATAAATGAAGACTGTACATTAGTTGGTGCTCATGGCCACCCTTCTTCATTGCTATCTTTTGAAGATTCAGAGTACTTTTATTGCACAATCCTTCAAAGGCAAACTGCAGCTCTGGGTAACCATACCTGTATAATGGGGATGAGGAGTTGGTTTTGTTTGATTCAAGAGAGATTTGTTTTCAAAATTCCAACCATGGGGCCATTTTTTCCTGTCGAATGCAGTGGTAAAAGTTGCCTGAGTACAGTGCAATGTTAGTAGTAAAGTTCTGCGCCTAACAGCTGACATTTTCAGAAGGAATACAGCTAAGTGTGCCATGGGAGTAACTAAGGGAATTTTCCTGCTGCATAGTTCTAATATATGATTTTGCCTTAGCAAACAAAACAGCTGTGACCACTTAAAAAAGATGTATTCAAGTATCCACGTTGAGTTGGCTCTTAGTACTTGTATTTGAAAAGGATGGGGCATAAGCATCCAGAATAGTACAGAGGAGGTGATGTGAAATGGTATTACACAGTGGGAAGTTATTGATTAGAAGAGCACAGCATACCTCTGAAAGCTTCTAAGTTGTTTAAAAATGAGGTGGTTATAACTACCTTGACCTTGTTCCTGAAATATTCTTTATAATCCTTAATGAGTGTCTGCTTAACAAAATAGAGTCGCACATCTTTACTGCACCAAGTCTGGTTCTAAATGGTAGTGTGTAAATTACAGTGCAGTCAAGTCATGTGCACACCAAGGGGTTGCTCTTTAAGAGGAAAGGTAGTTATTTATTACAGCAGGTAGCAAGCTGTGGTCCTGCATTACTTCCATACTGTGCTACAATGTGCCATAGTTTCCTGGTTGCATATAGTCTCACCACAGAGTGGTTAAAGGCATTCATATTAGATAAATTCTGTCTCATTACTGCACTGTTTTGCTTCAAAAGACTAAAATGTCTGTGTTCCAGCAGCTCAAATCCCTTTTTATTTTAAATTTTCCCATTTTCTGTTAAACTACTAGATACAAGTGCTGTGCCAGAGTAAGACTTTGGTTTTTAAATGATCCCCACATCGAGTAGGAAGACATCACTTAGAATGGTGTTATCCTTTGCTGCTCATTATCTCCTTCCATGGTGTTCCTGGGATGGAGTTACTGGCATGGTAATAGCTTCTTTGCAAGTGTTCCTGTTGTTTAGGGGGTCTGTGAAGCTTCCTGGCTTGGTTGGATGGAAGGAAGTGGTAAGGCTGATGTGGCCCTGTAGGCAGAGACACTTCAATCGTGGTGTTACACAGATGTATTCATTGTGTAAATGTTTGTATAAGCTGAGTGTTTGCTAAGTAGTTGTGGAATCTGATGAATAAAGCGTAATTATGCCTTAAACAAAACTGGCCATTCATGACCATGTGCTTGGTGTCTGCTTTCAGGTACAGTAGTAGTCCAGCAGCTCATGTCAGTGATGATTAGCAAACATGAAGAGCTGTTTCCCAAGGATGCTGACCTTCAGATGGGGCCTGAGGTATGCAACAACAACAATGAAATTCCAAAGAAGACAACTGCAGGGGTGCTACAGAACAAAGAGAACAACAATACCAAGGAGACAGCAGTGAGACGCTGCTCTTGGGACACACCTGAGTCTCCCCAAAGGGGAAGCATGGACAGGGGAAGCATGGACAATGAGTCTCCCACTGCTCTGCCAGGCAGCAAGACAAATAGCCCCAGGAACAGCATCCAGAAACCAGATGTCACCAGAAGCCCACCACTCACAGTGAAAAAAAATCCTGCTTTTAATAAAGGTAGTGGCATAGTCACCAATGGATCCTTCAGCAGCTCTGTGGAGGGCCCTGAGAAGAGCCAGACCTTACCAAACTGTTCCCTGCAAGCCAGGAGAACATCATCCCTGAAAGGACCTGTGACTAAGATGGGAACTCACAGCGTGCAGAACGGGGGTGTGCGGATGGGTGTTTCTAGCACGGATGGGCACAGCAACACCGTGAGCAGCCGGAGCCCGGGCTGGGTGCCCAATGGCTTTGTCACACTGAGGGACAACAAGCAGAAGGAATCTGTGAATGAATCAGGCCAGCACAACAGGCTTTCCACCTATGACAACGTCCACCAGCAGTTCTCTATGGTGAACTCTGATGACAAACAGAGTGTGGACAGTGCTACCTGGTCAACGTCCTCTTGTGAAATATCCCTCCCTGAGCAGTCCAACTCCTGTCGTTCATCCACCACCACCTGCCCCGAGCAGGACTTTTATGCGGGTAACTTTGAAGACTCTGTGCTAGATGGACCACCACACGAAGACCTCTCTAACCCGGGTGACTACGAGAACAAAAGTGACAGAAGGAGTGTGGGGGGCCATAGCAGCCGAGCCACCAGCAGCAGTGATAACAGTGAAACGTTTGTGGCCAACAGTACCAACAATCACAGTGCTTTGCACAGCCTGGTGTCCAGCTTGAAGCAAGAAATGGTCAAGCAAAAACTAGAGTATGAGACAAGGATAAAAAGGTAAGATGGTTTGTCTGACTGCTTTTTGCAGAGTAAATCCAAGAAGCTTTCCCTCTAGTGACTTGCACTAGCCACAGTCACTAGTGTGTCAGTGGGTGCTTGACGGTGAGTTTCTCATCTTTCAGTATTGACATACTCTGACATTGCTTCTGTGACACCATGATCCAAAGGGATTTGTTTCAGAGCAGTTGTTTGTCGTGGTTGTGACATGCTATCCTATTGGCATCAAAAGTACAGCCAGATCCTTGTGAGTTTCTGTAGAATCTAATTAACAAAATCAGTAGACCCTTATGACGTTATCATTAGTTGATGCCTGTTCTCCAGAGACTGAGAAAGGCAACTGAGTATCACCTTTCAGTGAAAGCAATTCCACCTGTAGTTTTTGGGTCTGAGGAGGCTGCTTGACTCCTTTTCGGTCCTCATTCCTCTTGAGACAGTGAGCATCTGCTCATGGTGCTGTCTCTGCCTGTGCCTTTCCTTCACAGCTTAGACCTGTTAAAGAAGCCAAGGGAGAGATGTGTCTTTGTCTACACATAGTGTGGACTCTGTTCATCCACAACAAGGTTGCTAGGGGGTTGGCCGTAATGATCAGTGAATAACCTCAAAGTCTGGGTTTAGGATTAACTAGTGCACATAGCAGTGCAGAGCTGAATGTGCTGTCTCTGTAATAAAGGTTCTTCAGTAAGGCTATTCAGGACTTTCTGTTCTCACTTGTTACGCAGCAGCTCTTGTACCTCTGGCACTGCAAGTCATAGTTGGATCACATGTGAGAGCTACTGGCAACAGCAGCTGCTGGTCAAAGTGCAGCACACAGAATGTTGTAGCTTTCGATCACAGCACTATTTTCAGCATAGTATGCAGTGTTAAGTAGAGCACTTCATACAATGTTCAATATGCATGATGACTGTATGTTTAGTACCACTAAGATCATAAAATCATAGAATGGTTCTAGTTGGAAGGGACTATAAAGTTCACCTAGTTCCAATCCCCCTGCCATGGGCAGAGGCACATTCCACCAGACTTAGTTCCTCAAAGCCCAGTCCAGCCTGGACTTGAACACTGCTAGGGCTGGAGCATCCAACTGGACTGGACAACCTGTTCTAGTCCCTCTCCACATTCACAGTAAAGAATTTCTATATCTAACCTCTTTTAGTCTCAAACCATTCCCCTCATCCTATCACTACAGTTCCTGATGAAGAGTCCCTCTCCAGCTTCCCTGTAGGCTCCTTTCAGATGCGGGGAGGTTGCTATGGAATCTCCACACAACCATAGGGGAGGTGCTGCGCCTTATCAACTTTGTGGCCTCCTCTGGACTTGCTCCAACAGTTCCATGTCCTTCATATGTTGGGGACACCAGAACTGTGTGCAGTCCTCCAGGTGGAGTCTCACCAGAGCAGAGTAGAGGGGCAGAATCACCTCCTTCAGCCTGCTGGCCACACTCGTTGGATGCAGCCTGGGACATAGTTGGCTGTCTGGGTCATGAGTGCACACTGACAGCTCACATTGAGTTTTTCATCAACAATCACCCCCAAGTCCTTTTCTCAGTGCTGCTCTCAACCACTTCTCCACTCAGCCTATAGGTGTGTCTGGGATTGCCCTAACCCAGGGGCAACTTGTTGAACTTCATGAGTTCCACATTTACAGATAGATGCAGATCTGTATTTGCAAATAGATCCAGCAGGCAGATCAGCTGAAAAAAGGAGATGAGCAGTGAAACAAAGGTATTTAGGGCATTATTCTGGCCTTGTAGGTGACCCTAGTGCAACTACAGCAAGAGCTGCATGTCAACACTTCCAGAAGTAAAAGGAATAGCTAGCCCACTCCTGATGAATTAGGTGGAGCTGTTTGCCTCTGTGGCTGTTTAAAGGTGTTTTCTAAATGTGCTACTAGGTTTGCCCTATGAGAATGGTTCATTGCTGAAGTCACAGTTTGTAGATACACCTATGAAAAATTCAGTCCGAGTTTTGTAAGCAAAAAGACACATGTATGAGTTTGGTGGTGGTGTACATTTCTGCTCGTGTGAGTGAGGAGTGCTGCTCAAGAGCTGTCTGCTTTTATTTCATTTGTGCAGCTTGGAGCAGAGAAATCTCACCCTGGAGTCAGAAATGATGGCCTTGCATGAAGAACTGGATCAAGAGCGGAAGAAGTTCACAATGGTAGAAATCAAAATGAGGAACGCGGAACGGGCGAAGGAGGATGCAGAGAAGAGGAATGATATGCTGCAGAAGGAAATGGAGCAGTTTTTCTCTACTTTTGGAGAACTGACAGTGGAGTCTCGCAGACCAGAAAGAGGCAACACCATATGGATCCAGTGAGCTTTGGAAGCATAGACGGTGGGGCCTTAGGAAGGGCTTGGGGGTATGATACTGTATCAGGTGGCTGGTCACCTGTCTGAGGCTAGTACTCAACAAAATGTTATAAACCCTTGAAGGAAGAGATCATACAGACATTAACCACTCATATCTACAGTGTGTACTTATCAAGTTATAATCTTTGAATGCTTCATGAGACTACTGTCAAGTGTTACAACTGGATATGTGTATATAAATTTTAAAAAAAATCCACCTTAGAGAGCAAGAGATGTATCTGAAGAAATATTTTAATGCAAGTCTTGTATTTAAACTGGTAAATTGAAATGTCGTTGCAATCAAGCTTTATATAAAGGCTTTTCTCCCTTGCACTTAACATAATAAGCTATTTTTGGCATTGTGTTACCATCAGCTTATTTTGTATATCAAATGTTTTTGGTTTTTGTTTTTTTTTTTTGTTCTTGTTTTGTTACCCCTTTTGCTGGGGAGTGAAGATAAACAGATATGTTAAGGTATATGTGTCTGTGGCTAACCCTGATTTGCGTCACTCCTAAAAAGACAGTGGGGTGAGAACCAGAGGTGTGCTAAGGACGAAGTAAAGCAGTACTAATTTAACAGAAGTGGTGGCCAGGGTAGAAAGTTCAGGGCACTCATAAAACCCAAATGAAGATATTAAGTCAGCAAAACTGGGGACAGCAGCAAAGGCATAAACAGCTATTTGTTTGGGAGCAAACGTGGGTGGCAGAATAAGAAGCTGGGAGGGGGGGAAAGGAGAACTTAAGGAGAAGTTAATCACATGACCAACTTTTTGGTGTACACTAAGGGGAAAACCCTGTGCCTGATCAGAGCAGAAATATAAACCAGTTGTTCTGACCATATTTGCAACCTGCTTACCCCTGTGCTGTGGGTGAAACTTAGTCCTTTTTGTAGTGCTGGTGAAGGGACACACAGAGAGGATGAACCAGACATCCTGACAGCCTTGTCAGTGTGATGGGTAGCAAAAATAATAACCAAAAAAATTGTGTCCAGGATAGAAATTACTGGAGCAACTGGCAACAAACAGTAAAAAAGGAAGGAAACACATCAACATATTCACCACTTGTACTTACAGTGTATATTAGCAAGTTTTCATGCTGTCTGAATGCTTCAAGGGATTACTGTCAAGTGTTACAACTGTGAAAGTTCCCAGGCTCTTGGCATCACCAAGGGAACACCTAGAGGGGACAGCCTGGAGCCTAACAGCATGCAGAATGCCAAGGAGAAAGAAACGGCAAAGCCATGCTGTAAATTAATCATTTGTTTGGCACCTTTACATACAGTAAGTATAACTGGTATTTTCTACACCATGTTAAGAATGCTTTATTTTAGCTTTGATTTTAGGACTGCGAGCAGTATTATTAGAGAGGGGTTTTGAGACATCTTGGCTTCCCTCTAGTGTCTCCTAAATATATTGCAATTAGTTTTTAATTCCAGCTGAGGAAGAATGATGAAGGTAAGCCTCAAAAAACGCTCTTGGTTGCAGTATGTAAATTAGACAAGTATTAATTGGATGTGGGAATTATGCTGGGAAGTAAACATGATGTTTACATTTCAGAGAAATATGACGCATTACACATGGTGCTTGTGGAGCATTATTTGTGTCTGGTGAGGTTCAGAGTCCCCAGTCAGGGCACCTATTGTGCTAATTACTGTGAACATGTCTAGGGCATATCCAGTCTGTGTGTAAACCAGAAAAAGTCAGACACAGGAGATCAGGGTAATAAGGAGGCACATGTTTTTATATCAGTTAGCAGAATCACAAGATGCACCCACAAGGGTGAGAGAAAGAACCAGATTACTATGTTAATTCTGATTTTTTTAATTGAATGAGAGACCTTGATATCTGATGCAGCTTCAAAGTTAACTTACTGTTTAAGCAGTATCTGATATCTGTTGACATGACATCAAAGTCTGAGATAAGTATTTTCTTCACTGAAATTCCAGTTTTTATACTAGATGTATACAGTAGTGAATTCTTTCTTAGGCACTTATGTTGGGCAGGATTTGTTTGTTTGAAGTTTGTCTTCATCTAGATTTGGAGCTTGTCTTTATGTTTGAAAAGGTATTTCAATCAGTTCCTCAAAGACTGTTCAATTTTTCAGTTAATATGTCTAAGTACTGATACCCAAATTTCTTGCTTTGCAATCCAGAACAAGATTTCATGTCACTGTCTCTGCAGAAATCATCTGGACAGACAGGAAATTGTGCAGGCACAGCCAGCTTAGAAAATGTTACCAACTATGAGTGTTCACTGCCATCGTCATCCATACAAAGTACCCTGCTCCTCCTGTGAGACTTCAGCAGCATTTAGGCTGTGCTGATAAAGTTTATTTATGTGCTTAACGGTCATCTTCATGCTCCTGATATTGTCCTAGTTCTTTACATTAAAATCACAACATCCTTGATGTTTCTTACATTCAGATTGTAACACTTGTAGCTTCTCAGCTGTATGATCCTGTTCCCATGTGGTCCACAACTCATGTGCTGCTTTGTTCACTTTAACATGTCCAGTCTGTGTGTGAATTGATCTCTTGGGGCGGGAGGGACATGCTGATGGATCTAAGTGGCCAGAATAAAGTCATGCTCCCTCTCAGTCAGTGGAGTGGAAAGGGGCAAGAATTTTTTTCACAAGGTTAAGGTCAAAGCAGACTGAACCCAAAGGCTCTGAAAAAAACTATAAGGATTTCATGCAGTACATTAGTTGATCACCAGATACCTCATAGAGGCAGATTTTCAGGATTCTCGACTGTTAAGGTATTGAATGAAACTGAGACAACTGGTTTTATCACCAGTTTGTGCAACACAACTTGTCATGCTTCATTACAGGCCAAGTTGGCAGTGTTACCTGCTACAAGAAAACATTGAGTTTCAAGTATTAATTACAAAAGTTGTAATAATATTTGTAATAAAATTTGCATTCACCTCTTTCTCACAAGTCTCTCTGTGAACTCCCCAGCTTAATAACCTGTGGTGTGAGGTCACCAGGCAGCTCCAAACTGAGAATGGCAGAAGAGCTCAGCCCTTCTAGGTCACTCTGCCTCATGCACAGCACACAAGAGACAGTGCTTTCACAATGAATCAATACAGGTGGGGAAAATAACTCTCTCAAGCTAATGACCTTCTGGTCCAATCACAGGATATAAATGCATTATGTTACATTCAGGAGCATAATTACAGGACAGCACATAGACCTACAAGCAGAGCAGGGTAGGGTTGAGGGACAGAGTAAGAGATGGAGACACACAACACAAACACACACATTAGCAGCTTACCACTGTTAATCACATCTCCAGCCACATCATGGGAGCACTGGGATGGCTGCTGGTGCCCTACATGCATAGTGGAATGGAGAAGTGGCAGACACAAACCATAACTTCTGAGTGTTAGATCATAGAATCAACCGGGTTGGAAGAGACCTCCAAGATCATCGAGTCCAGCCCTACCGTGGTTACCAGACCATGGCACTAAGTGCCACATCCAGTCTCAGCTTGAAAACCTCCAGGGGTGGGGAATCCACCACCTCCCTGGGCAGCACATTCCAATGCCTGAGCACTCTCTCTGTCAAAAATCTCTTCCTAATCCCCAACCTAACCCTCCCCTGGCAGAGCTTGAGTCTGTGCCCTCTTGTCCTGCTGCTGATTGCCTGGGAGAAGAGACCAACCCCCACCTGACTCCAGCCTCCTGTCAGGGAGTTGTAGAGGGTGATAAGGTCTCTCCTGAGCCTCCTAGATTCTGCTGTTTTGCTTGGAAAAGCTTTTGTCTTCCTTTCTGTTTGTGAGAATCCTGGTGTACATTTGGAGTATGCTCTAATGCAGCAGAGTAAATAAACCTACTACACATCTTTGCTGCATGTTGTTATGTCAGCATCTCAAACTCAACAATTAAGCATCAGTTTCCCAGATATAAAGATAGATAAATAACATGCTAAGTTAAATGATATGCAAAACTGTTTCTCATAAGAATAAAGAGGAAAGGAGCTTGAGCATGTTACCACTTTTAAGATCTGTAAGCAGTACTTGATCTAGTAGTTAAAATAATGGTCCAAACATTTTTGAGAAAGATACGATTTGCTAAAGAGAATGAATATTTAACACATCTTCCTTGTGTAGCATCCCTGGTGGGATGGAACAGAGGCAGAGTAAGGAGACATTGAATAAACAGGTACACTGATTTGCACATTTTGACAACCCAGTCAAAACAGTGAGTTGCCTCCAGCTGCTGTACACTTGAATGCTTCCTGGCTGAGTGAAACTCCTAATTAATTTCCTTTCTTACTCAGGATTCCCTCTGGAGTCTGTCCATTGAGGAGGAGAGTGTCTGCAGACTGTGCCCCTGGCATATCTGCAAGGAAGTAGAGGAGAGAGAAAGAGGAGATGGGAGAATAGAAATCAACGTGTACTTGTGATGGGGGAATGCAAAAATAGAGGAAACAGATGGCAGAGATGAGGGAAACAAGGAAGTTAATATACCTGAAATTGCCATGTGTAGGTGGTAGTAATTTGCCCTCAGTTAAGAGCATTCCTTCTGAAAGCTTGTCCCTACAAATGGGTTATTATAGTTAATGTTGGGTTATTCTTTCAGAGCTTTTTTTGGCTCTAAATTACTTTCTGGACTGACACCAGTAGATAGGTCAAGTGTTCCACAACTGCTTTCCTTGCTTTTCTCAGTCCTGGGTGCTGGCTGTGAGAGCTCATGTGGAGGAATACCTAGCAAAGCCATGGTGTAAGAGCTGACTGAAGGGCACAAGGTCAGAGGGTTCCCCATGGGCTCCCAGCGCTGGCTCCGGGACCAGCTAATGGCCCTGGACTGTCACTCAGCATCTCTAGAGTTGTGTTTCTCAGGAAATAAAATTACATATGGCAGGTGCCCTGCCATGGCTCTGCAGAGGTTTAGGAAGTGGTGAGAGAAGCTGAGGCACTTTCC